TAATGTGGGTCTTTTCCTTTCCCATGTTGGCTTCGATTTAGTGGTGGCCTTCACTACGCCTGTGCTCTCGCGGCAAACCCGTTGCGAAAAAGCACATGTTCCTTTTGAAAATACAGCATTTCTAAAAGGCCAACAATTGTGACACAAAGTCAACTGTAGTCAACATCCACAGGTTTGATGGCCTCCTGATATGGCTTTAGTGAATCAACTTAGAACCAAGGTAGTGTAGAAGTAATGCTCAGTAACTTCTAGAGATTCCCTTTTTTGGTACTGGGAACCAAACTCAGGACCTTGTGCTTACCAGGTGTGTACTGGGCTACCTCCCCAACTAAGTAACTCTTTTGGGGGGGGGGGCACAAAGAGAGCAAGTTTATTTGGTGAGTGCTGATGGCAAGCATCATCCAAGAGACCAGGTGGAAAAGGTGCTGTGGCAAGGGAACCTAGAAGCCCCCGGGGCCACATACAAATCTTGCACAGGGCAAGGCACAGGCTCTGGGGAGTCGGAATGTCCTCAGCTGTTCAGCACCATCTGGATGAGTTCTTCACAGTTGATACAACCATCGCTGTCCTCCTGCCACCAGCATCTCTTCTTCCTGTTATCTTCTCACCCAGCGTGACTAGGACATGATGGGTTTCACCACTCAAGACAGTACCTATCCCTTCTTTATCAGACACTCAAAGGCCTTCAATGTAGTCCTCATAGGTTCCCTGGTCCTTGTTCCTGGCCAGTCTGCCGTCTGGTCCTCAGGGAAGCTACGTATCTTGACTGCCAAGCTCTGCCCGACCTACAGTAATGGCTCTAAGTAACTTCTAAATGCAGGGGCTGGTGAGATGGCTCAGTGGTCTAAAGCACCTACTTAGAACAAGCTTGGCAAACCACAGGGACCGCGGTTCAATCCCCCAGCACCACATGCCAGCCAGCCCCGCCCCCTGGTGGGCTGAGCTGGCCACACACACACACACACACACACACACACATAAATAAAATTAAAAAAAAAATAAATAAATGCAGCTTCCTAGGTATTTCTTTGACATGGGCTCCCTATGCAATCCAGGCTGGTCAGCTGCCTGAGGCAAGGCCAGGTGAGCACGCTCTATCTGTTCATGATATCCCAGCCCTTCTTCGGTTCCCCCAGACAAGGCCTCAGACACCACCCAAGAATCCATCTCCATGGCACAGTATCTAGTGCCAAGGCTGAGCAGCAGCTCCCTCTGCTCTTCCCCAGGCAGGTGACTGCCTAGGGCCTGGTCCTTGCCTTGATGTACTGCAAGCACTGTCTTAAAGAATTGTTATTATACTGCTAGGTACCCTGTTACAGGAAACTGTACAACAATCCTCCTGTACATCCAGTGCACCCCATCCCTACCCCTTTCATGCAGGCTCACCTCAACTCAGCAAACCTGACTCAGGCATGGACCACCACCCTGGCCCTAATTCCCTTCGTGTGTGTGTGTGTGTGTGTATATTCCCTCTTCACAACAAGAATCTGACAATTTTAGAGACTGTAAGTCTGCTCATTTTTCTAGTTGGGCTTCTTGGTTATTGCACTGAGCTCTTTAACAGACATTGAATGAAATATCCTGTTGTATAGTTGCTCTGATTTTAAAGTACATTTATTATATAAATAAAACACCAAATTCTTTAAAATACCAGAATACTTCAAAAACTTGAGCAAACAAAACTATTCAAGTTTTATTTTCAAAGTCTAATTTTAATTCAGACTCAACAAACAAGCAGAAAGTAAGAAAGCTAGCTGTATTAGGAGACACAGATGTGCCCAATGTAAAACAGTGCGCTATTCACAGAACTATTTACATGCATATTTACAGGTCACTCTTGTATATGTTTTACTTTTTGTTAGTTGGAAAAACATTTGCCATTAAGTAAAAATATTACTTAGACTGGGCTGAGGTGGTACCAATTATATTAAAAGTATTAGAAAAGGGAACCTCAAAGCATGGCAATTAGAGGAAAACTTGAATGACAAATATCTAGTAAAATTCTCTAGTAAAAAATACAGCCCATGCTACAAAATAAAAATGAGAAAGCCATATAAATCAATCAGAATAATGTTCTAGGCCTTAGGGGATGAAGTTAGTGAAGTAAAAGAAAGCAAACAGTAATTCCTGAACAGGAATGAATCCTCAGCGAGGAGTCTTGTTTAGCTAGGAACTTGAAATTTCCTCCCCCATTAATGACCTGTTCACACATCCTTTGCATCAAACACCACCTGTATATGTAAATCAGTTGTTTATACATTCCAAGACTAATGCAAAGGATGTTCATGACTATTGTGTTTAGACGAGGTTTCAGGGCCGGGGAGATAGTTCGGCGGTCTAAGCACCCTCCTGGCAACGTGAGTACCCAGGTACCACATGCGTCGACATTGGCTACACCCTAGGCCCACTGTGCCAGCCACCAAAACTGGGCATGGTGCCGCCTGCCTGTAATCCCAACGCTGGGGAGGCTGAGACAAAAGGATCGCTATGAGTCTGAGTTGTGTAGAGATACCCTGTACCAAATTAATAAATACAAGATTGGAAAAAAAAAAAAAAAAAAAAAAGAGGGTTTCCCTGAACTCAGTTCAGGCTGGCCTAGAACTTAGAACGCAGCCCAGACGGGCCTCCACTTCACAGTGATCCTCCTGCCTCAGCCTCTCAAGTGTGTGCCATCACAACCAGCACTATCTGAAATTCAATTAAATGAGAAGTATCAAACTAAAGTAAAAGCAGTAGTATTCCTATCTAAAAAATGAATGCTACATTTTGCAACTATATGTATTTCTAGGCTGACTTTTTCCTTCATGAAAGAAAACTTAAAAGTATAAGCATCTAACCAGCTAGCAAAATTTACTTTCAACATTTCATTTATTTCAAAATGATTTTATTGCAGCCAAAACAGTAGAATTAACTGTACATAATAAACTATTTTATATATATACACATTTTAAGTTATAGGGAATAAAGTTTATTTTGGCAGATATTGTTAAACAAAATTGAAGTTGCATACATTAGTAACATAGCTCAACAGCCTTAATTTGGTATAAGTATGACACATGATCTCGCTTTCTCGGGTTTTGCTAAGTCATCATACCTAAACTTTTATAAAACTGATACGGCGAAATTTAACTTTACTGTTTTCGCTTATGCTCTGATTCCAAACAAAACTTTTCATAAGCTTCTTCAATCTCTGGGTCCATCTCATCATCAATATCATCCAAGTATCTGTAAAAGAACCCAAAGATAATTCATAAGTTTAATGCTTTTCAATGCAGAAAATGTCTTAAAATTACAAAGCCACAGAAAGAATGTGACCTTAGGCTGAATTATAACAAACACAAGATTAATTTTAGAATTATCTAAGTAGACCCTAAAGAAACGAGTGTTTATTTCAACAAGTGAACTTCACACCAATTTTGCATCTCTTTATCTGATATTAAGATTCTACTGTATTCTTGAATCTGTTTACCTAAAGGCTATTAATCAAAGCCTTGACATATAAACTTGGAGCTCAAGATATATGTTGTTAATAATTATACTACAGCTACATAATTTCATCTACACAGTTCACCTCTTGGTATTTTACTATTTCATTATATTTAACATCAGAAAATATTATTCCTGCTAGATAATTACAATGACAAGTTAGTTACATTCCCATCTATCTAGAATCAGACTTTTTTTTTTTTTTTTTTTTTTTTGGCAGAACCAGGGATTGAACTCAGGCCCTTAAGCGCTTATTCTACTGAGCCAGCTCCCTGGCCCCTAGAGAATCAGACTTTTTTTTTTTTTTTTTAATTGTATTTATTTATTTATTTATTTAGTGTGTGTGTGTGTGTGTGTGTGTGTGTGTGTGTGTGTGTGGCCAGCTCAGCACACCAGGGGGCGGGCTGGCTGGCATGTGGTGCTGGGGGATTGAACCATGGTCCCTGGGCTTCGGGCTTCACTAAGCTTGTTCTAAGTAGGTGCTTTAGACCACTGAGCCATCTCACCAGCCCAAGACTTTTTTTAAAAAGAAGCTAACTTACAAGTTACCCATTCTAGAATCTTCCCCCAACTATTAGAAGTTTAAAATGAGAGAAAGCAAGGTCTCCTTATTTATGAAGTATGGGAGGAAAATGTAAAGAGCCAATAAAGAATGTAATATATACACTGCTACTGAATTCCCATGGTTGTGTTAAAAAGGCCCTGTAGCATTTTTATTTTGGAAATTTGGAAATTTTAAAAAGTGACTGGTAACAACAGGTTAGTACATAACTTTTTTTGTGGGAGGAGGTAGTACTGGGGATTGAACTCAGGACCCTGCACTTAGAAGGCAGGCACTCATGCCACTAAGCTATTTCTCCAGCCCTAATAATGTAAAATTCTGACTAAGTGTGTGTTCACCTAATTGCACATGTTTTCCCACACAACATGGCACTCTCACCCCACCCTCAAAACCGTTTTCCACCTACATGTGCAAGAAAGGCGCCTGCCAAGCCCACGAGCTGCAGATGCTTCCACTTCTCCACTCCAAGTAATGAAGCCATCACATGCAGCTATATCCAGGAGCTCATAGGAGCACGAGTACGATGCTCACTGAGCACAACTTTAGAGAAAACCCATGTTCAATGCCAACAACAACTTGACGTTTATTTATTTATTTATTTGACACAGAGTCTCATTACATAGATCGGACTCACAGTGATCCTATCCCAGCCTCCCCAGCACTAAGATTACAAGTGTGCGCCACCAAGCTTGGTCTTGGTGGCCAGCTCAGTGTGCCTGGGGGGGCGGGGCTGGCACGGCATGTGGTACCAGGGATCAATCCAGGTCCTTGCACATTCTAGGCATGCACTTAGACCACTGAACTATCTCCCCAGCCCAAGAACAATTTTTTTTTTTTTTTTTTAATGAGCAGAATATATTTATTGAGAGAAAGCTCCTGTCTAAGAGAGGGACAGGAGGGGGGCCCGAGTGGATAGGTATGTCCCCCTGCCCCAGTTGTCTCTTGCAGGGACTTTTATCAGATTTTTTTTTTTTTTTTGCGGAATCAGGTATTGAACTCCCAAGAACAATTTTTAGTACCCAGCAGTATTAAAGCTTTCTAGTTTTCCCTGGGACCTTAAATCTTTGTATTTTCTATTAAACTATGTCAAAGTATGGCAACCTTGTATTTCTGGATCTTTAATAATCAGAAGATAAATAAAAATGGTTTGCTGCTTTAAAACTTAGAGTACACATGAAAGATACAAGAAAAAGTTAGACATAACTTGCTCTCCTACCACCATCAACATAGATTAAAAAAAACAACAACCACCTCAGTAGCTCATACAAATACACAAAATTGATAAAATACTGGGAGAGTAACAGGTAAAGAAACTGAGATAGGAGAACAAAATTACAATCTATCAGCCTGAAGACTGCCAGAGTAACCTGTCTTCTTCACTCTATCCTTTAAAAGCTAAGATTCGAATCTTTTACCATGTGCTCCTTTTAATGTATTCTCAATGAGTTCTCAAAAAAACTTGGAGGGATACTATTATTCCTGTCTCATGACAGAGAAGCAAGCACAGAGGTCACCCAAGATCTTAAGGTAATAACAGAGATTCTTAAACTCTAGGTATGATAAACTCTATTGTTTCAACAATTATGCTTATGGGGGCTTGCAGGTTAGCTCTGTTGTTTTAGCACCTGCTCTGGCAAACCCAGTCAGGCGCAGGGGACCGCGGTTCTATCCCCAGACCCGCCCTTAAGGCAGCCTGAGCCAGCCAAAAAAAAACAAAACAAAAAACAACACCAACCAAAAACAAAAACCTACTCAAAATTTATGCTTAAGAGTACTATGTTTCAAAAAAAAAAAAAGAATACTATGTTTCATTTTCTTTCCCTCAGCTATGTTTTTAGAATTAGAGCCTGAGTTTTCAGAACATTTTTAGTACACTTATCAGTTCCAAACAATGCACTAAAATATCATCCAAAGTGTCATTTTTCCATCATTTTTTTATATTCTACTCTCTACCTAAAAATTGATCTCACAGAAACAAAACACAAACTAGTAACAACTTACGGATCACCAGCCCCTGATAAATCTGTTCCGTTTTCTTCATAATCTGGAAAAAAGTCCTCTCTTTCAAGTAATTCTTGGTATTTCTCTTGGTAATCTTGAAGACAACAGAAACAAACTACATTAAAAAATTCTACAAAATGACCAAAGGTCTCTTCCGATAGCAGTAAACCCCAATTACATAACATGGCTCCCATATTAACACTTTGTCACACTCACCACCAGCTGCCCACTCCACTGCATGAACACACAGTTTGCACACATCTCTATGCTGCTTTTCATGAGACAAAATCCTGGTTTCGCTCGGGCAGAAAATACTCGCACACCTTTTCTCCCCCTTGCCCCACATGGCCCTCTAAGGGAGATATGTTCTTTGCTACCAGATAACAGCGTTCATTTAATCGGGAGCTTAGCTTGTCAGGGTTTCAGCAGAAAGGTTTCCTTTCTTCCCTTCCCTAAGCTACTGTGCTTACTTCAGTTCCAGCCTCTCTTGCGTGGGTCGAGACTGAGGAGACACAAGTAATGACAGTTGTTTACCTGCCTGCACTAGCAGGTAGGGTACCAGCACTTTTTCACCTTAGTATGTCTACACAGAATCCTTACCTCTGAACAATAAAGTTGATCAGTGTACATGTAGCGTAATGTTACTACCTAAAATCTAAGGAAAGCCACATAAAATCCTGGGAGAGTGGGTTTATGTGGGTTGTGAAAGGATATTATTATATCTTATGTATCTGGTACAAGGTCTCACTATGCAGCTCAGATTCATAGTGATCCTCCTGTTTTTAGCCTCCTGGGCGCTGGGATTATAGGCTTGTGCCACCACACCTGGTCTCGGTGGCTAGCTCTGAGCAACCAGGGATGAGGCCAGTGGCGTGTGGTGCTGGAGCGTGAACCCTGTCCCTGTGGTTGCCTAAGCAGGCACTTAAGTCTGCTGAGCTATCTCACCAACTCTTTATAATTGTTGGATAAAGACATCTGTTGAAAATTTATGAACCATTTTGACTATACAGGCTTCCTGGTACAAATGTTTGATTTTATGTTTGAGATAAAGACTCACTGTAATCTAAACAGCCCTCAAATTCACAGCAATATTCCTGTGTCATCCTCCCAACTGAGATTACAGATATGTACCACCACACCTAGCCTGATAAATGACTGAGACAGTAGATAAGACATTTTGTTACAAGAGTTCACCTTAAAAAATAATAATAATTAAGGCACTAAGTAAACGAAAAAAACCTAATGGTTTTATGAAATAAAATGAAATAAACCACTACAGCTGCTGTGGGATGGCTCTGGTCTCAGTTACTAGGGGCTTAGATCTGAAAATCCACAGAAAGCCTGGTGTGGCTGTCCACACACCTAAAATCCCACCACACAGTAGGCTGAGGCAGGTGATTGGCTATTAGTTTGAGGCCAGCTTGGGCTACAGAGTGCGTTCAAGCCTAAACTACATAGGGAAACCCTGTCTAAAAAACAAACCCCAAAACCAGTCATCTGCTTAAGTCTGGAGCAGGTTTCAGGTGCTCTGGAGACGCTGGTCTACAGGGCTCTGTAACAGGGGCCCCGCCCCTCACACTTCTACTACTCACCAGAACAATCCCTTAAAAACACACACACACACAACTATTCCTAGCTGCTATATAACCCTTCCACTCTCAGAGGAAGCATTTTTTGAAAAGATTTTTGACAGACTTAAAACCATTTTTTTTTGTGGAACCGGGGATTGAACTCAATCTCAGCCCTAAAACCATTTTTAATAGACTGCTGTAACTCAAACTATAGGGCTGGGGAGATAGCTCAGTAGAATAAGCACCTGCCTGACAAGCGTGAGGCCCTGACTTCAATCCCTGGTACTGTAAAGAAACAAAAAACAATACAAAACAATCTGTTTAGACAAGATATCATGTCTGCATCTTGTTCTCTGAATAACTACTATGAAGACAACAATATGCAATGTGTTATTGTAAATGTCCTACTAACCTGCTTTGAAACTGTTTCTTCTCTATTTTTTCATTAAAATGAATAAAAATTATAAAAAATAAGTCAAACTATAACATACTTTTAACAAAAGAAAACCAGGAAGTTAACATATTAAAGCATTCATACAGAGCCATAATAAATGTAACTTCAAATGGTTTGGGGGAAAAAATAAATCTAAGGACAGCACGAATTACTCAGTTTAACTGTCAAGAAAAAGTGTGTCTGCAAAGGGCATGGATACCCCTGTAATCCCAGCACACTGGGAAGCTGAGGCAGGAAGATCACAAAGTCAAGTTCAGCCTGGACAACTCAACAACTTAGGATGTCTCAAGATACACATATATCAAGGGATGTGAATCCAACTCAATGCAAAAATTCTGGGTTCAATCTCAGAACTGTACTGGGGGGAAAAGAACACCTAGATAAAAGGGCAGTGGCTATGTTTCACAGTTTTTACATTTGTTATTTCCCTAGAAGTTTGAAATCCCTTCAGAATGAAGCTTAAGGGCTTGCTATAGAAGTATCATGACAATTGTGAATAGCATCAGAATTAGAATTAAGAAAATAAAATAAAATATGAAAAAAAGCGAACATGTATGATCAGAAAAAAAGATAAACTGAATGAAATGCAAAACAAAATTCAGTGTGGATAAACCAAACTAAATTTCCATGAATGAAAATTAAATAATAAGACACTACACAAACTAGGCATAGGTAACAAATTAACTAAAGTGAAAAATCAATGTAACCGAGGAATAAGAGGAGAGATTTGCCTTACTACACACAGGAAGATTTACAGCAAGACAAGAATAATTACAAGTGTGGTACTAGTGGAGAAAGACTAACAGAAGAGCCAGGTGAACAAACGCAATGCACAACAGTGGGCATATCCGCTAGGGGAAGAAGCAGGACACAGCACTTACTCCGAGACAAGCCAATGGGAACAATACTGAACTCCTACACCTGCCACATACAAAGATTAGCCAGGCGCATTCAAGATCTAAATATTGAAAGCAGCAAAGTAAATACTTTTTAGAAGAAAATAAAATTTTAGTGATTAGGTAAAATCAGAGAAAGCACAAATAAGAATGATAAATTTCATATTAAAACTCAAAGCTCTGATGAGACATTTAAACAAAATGAGAAGAGGCATACTGAGAAGTGAGGTCCTCAGATGACTAAGGATCCCCTTCTAGAATACAGTCACACATCAGTAATACAAACAACCCAACAAAAATAAGGGCAAACAGACAGTTTTCACAGGAAGAAATCAAAAGGTCAACAGAAAAAGGAAAGGAACCTCTATCTCACCAGGCAGAGAAATAAAATTCACACAACTGGACTGAAAACCCTAAGTTTGATAACAAGTACTGCCAAGGATACGCAGCAGGACGCTCATAAGCTGCTGGTGCAAGTATTAAGTGGCACAAATGCAGTGGTTGGCACATTAGTGACACTGAGTGAGGCTGAGGATGCCGGCAAATGTGACCTAACTACTTCCTCAACTTGACTTGTGCTGGGGCACACACCTGGCAATGCCTGCTCCTCAAAGAAACAAAAGGAACAATCCTCAAAAGGAACAAACTACAAGTTGACTGTGGTTTGTACTAAGTGAGAAAGTTATTTTGCTCACCCCGTAGTCCCCTCCATCATAACTAAAGCAATCTGTCCATAAATGACCCTTCTCTGGGACATACGCAGATATTTAATTTTAATTAACTCCAAATCACGAATTAATGAAGACTGTATTAAGTTGTGCTAATCTAAATCGTCTCTGACTATGTAGTGACCTAGAATCATCTTTCAGCTTTATCCTAACCACCTAAAATCTTAAGAGTATAACAAGGAAATATACAAGTGGCTGCAGGTAATTCAGGGATTTTCCGATCCTAAGGCACAGTAACAAAACACTATATGCACCATCAGACGTCAATCTGAAGTGACTCAAGTTAGAAAAACCTTTATCCTAGTGATTTAGAATGTACCCAGCAGATTACGTTACACTTGTACTGGTAAAGAGTGGGTGTCTAGAATTTACTACCTTATCAGAAGCGTGGGGGTGAAGGTGACTATGAGACAATGTACCTGGGTCAGCTGCAGTGAAGGGAACGCCATCGGGTGTATAAAATGTTGGCTCATTCTAGAATAAATCAAAGTGAAAACATTTTTCATTTAGAATATTTTGTATGTAAAATTTAGTACAGAATGGCTGATGTTCTTCTTCTGTACTAGATACTGAAAGCATAAGCAAAACAAAACCACCCTGAATTCCCAGCACCCATTGCACTTCACTCAGTACAAGCCTAGGCTTCCGTTCTTTTAATTTCATGTTCCTAAAGTTCTAATGCCTGGCACTGCTGACCGATTTTTCTGTACGTGATGATTTAATGTCAGCTTTTAGGCTGCACTCTCCCCTTTCTTTACGAGCTGCCGAGACCAGTGCTGTGGGAGCACTTCTCATAGCTGCTCTCTATGTGGCCATGTCAGCAGCTCAGGTTACCACGGGCCTATAGCCATGTTTTACTACTTCTTCTTCTTTTATTTTTTTATTTTAAGGAATGGTCTACAGGGTGTTCAGGGTCTCACTACTAGATCAGACTTGTAGTGATCCACCTGTTTACAGCCTCCCAGGAGCTGGGATCACAGGTACGCACCACCATGCCCCGTCTCAATCACATCTCAGCGGGCCCCTGGGGGCAGGGCCAACATGGCAGGCCCGGGGATTGAACCTCCAGCCCCTGCTTGCAGGCACTTTAATCCACTGAGCTATTTGGCAGGTCCTTTTTATTTATTTATTTTTTTGTCTATAACACATGAAGTAAAATCTGAGATGCTGAACTTTGATTATTAATTTTCTAGAAAATCTACTTCCTGGCATCTCTACACTGACTCAAGACCATCCTCATCAATGTCCTTTGTCAGGGGACAGCTCTGTCTCTAGATGATCCTTTGTCTTTATTTACTAGGTCAATGCCTCCTATGGAATCCTGTGTCAATGAAAAGTTCAAGCAATAAGCAAAATTTCAAACATAAACCCTAACTTACCATAAAGTAGTTAGGATCATTTTCAGGTGTTGCTTCTCTGTATGTTGAAGTCGCATGTACTCTACCCCAGTTACTTGACCGGAGTTCTACAAGTTTCAAGAGCATCTGTTTTACATCTCTGCAGACAAAAGTCCAAAACGAGTTAATAGGTATTCACCATATGTGTAATAAGGTTCCAAAATAACTCATGGATTCCTAAAACTTTGTTTTCTAATTTAATGTGTACACCCAATATTTAATTTTTTAGGTGTTTCCTATCATGTTATAACTTCATCTTATTTTTATTTTTTAAAAACATCAAGACAGCCGGGTGAGGTGGCACATGCCTGTGACCCCAACTCTCAGGAGGCTGAGGCGGCCTGGACTATACAACAAAACACGGCCTCATAACAGCCCTAAAATGGGGCCCACATAACTGTGACTAGGTAGTTCCTTAACTGACAGCTCTTCAACATTCTGATTTCTTACCAGACACAGCAGTTCTTCACACAGTATTTGTTTGCATTAAATCATTTGGTTCTTCATCAGACTCATCTTTTAACAGGAAAACCTTACTACTTCAATTTTAAAATGTAACTGAACAAAAGTGCCTGAGAAACCAAAGGTAAAACTGCAATCTTTACATACCCTGTCAACCAGTCTGCAAGACTTCAATTACTCTGAACAAGTATAGTAGATTAATGTCCCACACACACATGCAAAACAGCAACAAACTAACATGTTTTAGCTTCTTTTCCTACCTGCTACAGTTTGCATCTAAGACAACATTTTCAATTCTCTGAATAATTTCTTCCATGTCAGTCTTTAATTTTTCTTTCCAAGCATCTTCCAAAACTGACCCTGTCAACTAAAGCCGGTATCAATAAAAAAGTTCAGTACACAAATTCTGAAAAGAACTGCAGTTCAAGTATATAGCAGGTTAATATAAATACTTTCTGCCTACCCAGCAACATTTACAAACCTCTACATGTTCTACTATTTTCTTTTTAATGGTTTTTATGCATTTGGTACAGGTTCTCGCTACGTATCTCAGACTTGTAGTGAGTCTCCTGTTTTCAGCCTCCCCCAGTCCTGGGATTACAGGTGTGTACCACCACACCCCATCTTGCCGGGCATGTCTTGGGTGGAGCCTGTGTGGCATGTGGTACCAGGGATGAACCTGGATCCTTGAGCTTGCCTAGGCAGGCACTTATACCACTGAGCTATCTCTATGGCCCATCTAGTTTTTTTCTTGGAGGAGACAAATTACAGTGGTACTTTGGTTTACCAATTCAATTCTCTCCATGATTCTGGTTCCAAATGAACAAGATTCAAATGAAATCTCTCCTAGGTCTAGGTGAACACTGAACCTAACCAGTGATGGTAGGCATGGTGGCTCTCCCCTGAATCCCAGCACTCAGAAGGCTGAGGCAAAAGGATTGCTGGGAGTTTGAGGACAGCTTGGACAACAAAGTGAGCTCAAGGTCAGCCAGAATTACACAGCGAGAACCTGTCTCAAAAAGACAAAACAAAACACAACAGTGCACCTAACCACTGATTTTGATTTGGTTCTCATCCAACTTGGTCTGCAATCAGAATCAAGGAAATAAAGTTTATGAGCACAAGTACCACTGTAGAAGAATGAACTGTGCCAAAATTTTAATCACGAGTTTTGTACGTCAATGGCTGCATAAATCTTGTATGACTAAAATAGTCTGTTATAGTTTAACAAACATTTCACTTTTTTATTTTGTCTTTTCTTACTGGGGATCGAATCCAGGGCCGTCACACTGAGCTACATTCTCAGTTCTTTTCACATTTTTTTATTTTGAGACAGGGTCTCAGATCAAGTCACTGAGTTACTCAAGTTGGCATCAGTCTTCTGATCCTTCTGCTGCAGCCTTGTAGAACACTTTGATTACAGGCACCTATCCCACCCATGGGCTGAACATGTTACTTTAAAAAATATGCAACAAATACAGAATTACATATTGAGTTTTTTATAAAGGCAGTCTACTAAGTACCTGCTTGGCAAGTGCAAGGACGTAGGTTCAATTCCTAGTACTAAAATGCTATGCCAGCCCTGTGCTGTTGCTGGCCACTGAAACCAGGCATGGTGGATGGTGCACGCCTATAATCCCAGCACTGGGGAGAGGCTAAAAACAGGAGGATCACTATGAGTCTGCACTGCACAACGAGACCCTGTACCAAATAAATAAATCTTTAAAAAAAAAAAAAAATTGAGTATATAAACAGGCAATTCACAGAAATAATGAATAATAAAGGAATAAATGCTTAAATTATTGATCAAAGTATACAATGTAAAAAGGGTCAGCATGATAGCTCAGTGGACAAAAGTGCCTGCTTAGGCAGAGCTCAGTGGCCAGGGTTTGATCCCTGGCATGCTGTACTGGCCCCACCATCAGGGTGCACTGAGACAGCAATTGAGACTGGGCCTGGTGACATGCACCTGTAATCCCAGCAATGGGGAGGCTGAAAACAGGAGGATCAGTATGAATCCAAGCTACGTGTTGAGACCTTGTAGACCCTGTCCTAAATACCGGGGGGGGGGGGGGGGAGAATAAAATGTAAAATGAGGTTTCTGTTTTTACTCATAACTTACAACAAAACAAAAACCCAGATCCTTACTACAAGATGTGGGGAGAGGTGTACTTACTAATGTTGGAAGTACACCCTGGTCCAGTATTTGGAAGGAAACTTCGTGTTATGGTCAATACAAAGTATACATGCTTGCTGACCCACCAAACCTGTGTTTAGGAATTCAACAGAAATACCTACACATATAAAGACAATGAAAGACTACAGCAGTGCAGCCGTGGCTGAAGTGAAATGCGTCAGCAGTGCAATGGGATACAGGAGAGCTCAACACAGAGCTGAGTCTGTGTGCCCTACGTGGGGGCACAGAATGAGGTCTTCCTCACTGGGCACACAGAGAGCAGAAGAGAATCTAAGAACAGGTGAAAACATTCTATTTGACTTCTAAATTTCGCTTCTCATATACACAAAATTAGTATACACTTATTAAACTGTTTCAACTTGAAGAACTTCATCATGAATTCACTGTAATCTACTTTCCTTCTCCTAAATTATGAGTAAAACTGTCACATTTTTAAAAAAGTAAAACATACCTTTAGTAATTTTACTGCACAAATTAAGTTGTCATCCACTGGATTGGAGAAGAGGGCATTTAGCAATTCACGCAGACCAACTTGGAGAATATCTGCTCTTGTAACCTGTCCATTTGTTCCCTTGATCTTTCAAGGCAAAAGAAAATTTAAAACGTAAAAAGCTTGAATGTAGTGAAAGATATACAAAAGATCTAACAAGGTCTTAGCAAAATAAGTATTTCAGTTACACACAAAAGTGCAGGGCAGTGTGAGCATAATGTCTTCCTAAGCACTGTGCACAGGCCACTGTGGCTAGCTTTTTATTTTTCCCCAGGGACCAGAGACCAAAGTCCAGGGGCATGCTACACACTGAGCTACATCTCCAGTCCTTTTTATTTGTGACAAAAGGTCCCACTGAGTTGTCCAGGTTGGCTGCAAACTTGTGATCCTTCTGCCTCAACTTCCCTAGTAGCCGAGGTCATCGACAGCTCTTTTTTTTAAAAGTATTTAGTACAGTCTACAGGGCCTCACTACACAGATCAGATTCGTAATGATCCTCCTGTTTTCAGCCTCCCAAGCATTACAGGTGTGTACCACCACGTCCAGTGTCATCAAAAACATTCTTAGAAAGATTTCATTTACACCAAATTTTAAGCCAGTTGCTCTTACTTTGGCTTATATAAAAATCAGACTGAAAAAAAGAGTAAGGCAGGAGATTTTCAAAATATTAAGTCCTATGATTAAAAAAGTGTAATAAGGTACTGGACTGGATACAGACCTCTTAGACACTGATGGAGATGTGTATACTCGTCAGATTCATTTGTCTACTCAAATTTGCAATTATACGTATACGATTATATGTTTAGAATACTAAATTCACACATTAGTGTTTTAAACAAGACATATATCGATACCTTCTTTATTAGCAAACCTCATCTATAGGTATATACAGGTTATCACCTGAGTTCATAAACACGTTCAGCTACAGCCTTTGTACAAATGTACTTGATGTAGAAAATGAATGTATACAATAAGCCAAAAATATTTTCTTGGGGGATGTGGGGACTAGAGAGGTTGACCTAAGAACACAAAATTTCAGTGAGTCAGGAGAAATTAGTTCCAGGTATCTGCTGTCCATCATGATGATTACAGAGTTAAAGCTACTCAGAGTCTAAGTGTTTTTACTATCAAAAGCAGCAGCTATGAAATAGAACAAATAGCTTGAATTAGCCATTCCACCCCCCCCCCAAAAAAAAAAAAACCAAGCTGCAAACCGTATTTAATTTAAACCAAAGCTACTCTGGGCTAAGCTGCACACTCCAGGCTTGCACTCGCCCCAAGCTTCGGGTTCCATACAGCCAGGTGTCGGAGCTGCCATGTGAAAGTGAACATACTAATTCTATTAGCATTTATGAGGTAAGGATTCAAAGGCGCCAATTCTGTCTCTCAAAAACTTACAAACGGGGCTGGAGAGATGGCTCAGTGGTCTAAAGCACCTACTTGAAACAAGCTTGGCAAAGCACAGGGACCGCGGTTCAATCCTCCAGCACCACATGCCAGCCGGCCCCGCCCCCTGGTGGGCTGAGCTGGCCACACACACACACACAATAAATAAATGTAATAAATAAAAATAAATAAATATTTAAAAAAAAAACTTACAAACGTATACATTTTCCTAAGAGTACATAAAATCTTTTAAAGTTTAGAAATTATTTCCAACATCCTACCCATAAGCAGAACAAATTAGTGTTATAAAGTTCCATTAAAATACAGACTGTAGGGGTAATCCACTCAGGTTCCTTTTTCTGTCCCCCTCTTGAACGGGAACTATTTTACCCCAATAAATATATTCTGCTCTTAACCTCCGTAAAAAACAACAACAACAACAACAAAAAAAACCAGACTGTACAATGAGTTCAACGGTAAATTAATAACAATTATTTTCTTACTCTCCATTGCCCCTTTCTTTTCACATTTAATGTTGTAAAACGGTAATGTGAAGAATTCCTTATTTAGATCAGTTTGTTTCCCCAGTAGTACTTAAGAAAAAAAGAAGTTTTCTCACCTCCAGGTTAAGATAAAGTTCTCCCAGAAAGAGTACAAATGCGTGAAATCGTTTTCGAGTCACTTCATCCCCTTTTGCAGCTTGATCTTTAACTTCATATTCAGTCCGACATCTAATAAAGATATTATCTTTTATAATCTCACATTGTATGATGTATGTATGTATTTGATACAGGGTTTCTGCTATGCAGCTCAGACTCATAGTCTCTGCTGCCCCAGCACTGGGATTATAGGCGTGCTCCACCACACGGGGTTTCGTGGACCAGCAGGCATGTGGTACCAGGGGTTAAACCTGGACTGAACCTGGCTTGCTGGGCTTGCCAAGCAGGCACTTAGGCCACTGAGCTATCTGTCTAGCGCGTTATAAAGTCAATCAAGATGACCACTTATCAGTTTGGCTGTCAATGACCCAATGCCCTGGCATTACATAATAAAGAAAAAGGGTTCCTCTTTGGACACCCAACACATTATCTTTCATAGCAAGACTCCCAGTGTTCATAAACTAGTAATAGTAAAAAATAAGACGACCACATTGTTTGTTTGAGTTTAAGCCACATGCATTTCATGAGGTACAGAACAGACCACTGCCAAAATCGTGGTGGAGGGTTTACTTTGTCTTATAGGGTTTTGATTCAGAAAGCACTTCTTTTACCCAAATTGTCTCCAATTTTTTTTTTTTTACTGTTTTTAATGGAAGAAATTTTGAAATATGTCTTTAAAATATATGTGTACAACTGGCCTCCAACTAAACTGAAAATAAACATTGAAGTTTATTATTCTTATTTCTCATTTTAGCGAGGAAAAACTCAACTGTACAACGCAATTATTTCCAAATGCAAATTAAAGCACCAAAATAACGGCATTTCCGCTGACTTTTCTCCTAACTCGGCCCATTAGTGTCACACAGGCAACAACCACCAAAAATGCATCCTGGAGCTTCAGTCACATTTCCTGATAGATATCTAATACAGGAAGCTGGTCATTTATGGAGTCAGCTACTGATACAAGTTATATTTATCATTTTGGAGCTAAGTATTTTTTTTCTTTATTGATAAAGTGGTGCCAAAACTGGGAAAGTAATTTCTCTGGCAAAACCGATTTTGATAGTTTTTCTTCTAAAGATCAAAAGAGAAGAGATTAAGAAGATCGAATGGCTTCCACGTAGCCTTTTTATGTTTTTTTCTTAAAGTAAAAAAAAAACAAAAAACAAAAAACAAAAAAAAAAAAAAACCCCACAAAGAAATCACCTATTGCCTAAGTATCCAGCAAGGGGCACTCTGAGACCACCACAAACCCAGCACAGCTTATAACGCTTCTCTGGCCATCCAGTATTTACCAGCTGTGTTAAATTAGCTATCATTTTCTGTTTGAATCAAATGTTATCTTACCATACATAGTAACGCCCAGTACAAAAAAGTTGCGGCATTTATAGACAGAATGCTCTGACTCATAATGGAAAAGACAAGTTAATTATTACCAACTCAGCTGCCCAAGCACCTTGCTGGTTGTTTTCTTTCCCTTCTGTTACAACTTTGCTGGTTAGCGTTTTTTTCATAAAATGCTAGGACTACTAGATTGTACATTAGGACGTGATGTTTCTGCCAAGTAAATCCTTTTCTTTGTACACGGTTAATTATCTAGGTTAAAGACCCTTAAACTTTTTAAAGCTAAGCATTTTCAGTTATAAAAGCAATGTATCTTTTTTTCCACAAAAGTAAAAATAAGGAAAACAAAGATCAAAGTTGCCCCTAGTACCACAACAACCAAGAGGTAACTGCTGTAAAGGTAAGGGAACTGCATGCTGGTACTTTTTTCTTTTTTAAATGTACTTGGTATAGGGTCTCACTACGCACAGTGAGCCTCCTGTTTTCAGCCTCCCCAGCACTGGGATTACATGCCTGTGCCACCACGGCCAGACATGGTCCAGGCTCAGCACGCCTGGGGGTAGGGGCTGCTGCAGCCTGTGATGCCAGGCATCGAACCCTGGTCCGAGCTTGCCTAAGTGAGTGCTTAGTCAGCTTAGCTATCTCACTGTTCCTCAATCTTATCTTTTTCAAAGTATACATTTTTCAGTAAATTAAACTATATTGCTCTTCACTTGTACCATTTGCATTCCTCTGCATTACTGTCTTTTACAGCATCATAGTGTTATAGAACTGTATGTGGGGCGGGGGTAAAACAAATCAAAGAAAACCAGAAGAATGGCTCTCAATTTAAGAACAAAAAAGGGCTGGGAGATAGCTCAGCAATCTAAGCATCTGCTTGGCAAGTACAAGGACCCAGGTTTGGTCCCTGGCACCGCATTCCACGCCGGCCACCGAAACCAGGTGTGGTGGTGCACACCTGTTATCCCAGTGCTGGGGAGGCTGAGACAGGAGGATCACCATGCATCGGAGCTGCATGCAAGACCCTGTATCAAATAAGTAAATAAAAATTTTAGAAAGATTAAAAAAACAAAAAAAAAGACAACTCAGCTTCCACTGACTAATTGCTATACATCAGTTTCTAAGGTGGGAGCAAGGTCTACACCCTATTTTCAGTATCTACACAACTGCAAGGCACAGCTGGGGATTAGCACTGGGGAATACCCTAAAGGAGCCCTTCTGGTATTGATTCCTGGAAGCACCCACTTCTGTCCAGAAGCTGTAATTTACATTTCTTTAATTATAGGTAATTTTGAAAACCATCACCTATATTTTTCTGAACTGAACCTACCTAGAGGCATTACAAGTATTTCTCTTAAGACACTGGTCTATTTCTCACTGATTCCTAAGGTCTCTTTTTCAGTATATCCAAATGAGCTGACCAATGATGTAAATTTTCCTGTTTTCATTTCACATAAATTGATGCTTTCTACAAACTGCTATAGTCAATTACGTTAATGTCTTCTTTTAGGACCCATGTGTATTATGTCTCACTAGAAAGGGTTTATACCTACCCAAGAACTTTTTTTTTTCAGTTTTCATCCTTAGTACAGTATTTAGTGTACTGCTTTGAGTTGCTGATGTATTTGGAATTTAACTGGGTGTAAAGGATAAGACAAGAACCCATTTTTTTTTAACCCAGAATGCTCTAGTCATGAGAGCAGCACAAACCATCTTTTACATAAGCATTTGAAGTACCAACTTCACTTTTTTTTTTCCTAGTGTTAGAGACTAAACCTTAAACACCTTAAACCTTTAACGTGCCAGGCTCATTAGAAGTATCTTTAAAGAACAGAGAGCGAGGCACAGTGTTGCATGCCTGTAATTCCAGCTAGTTTTCAAGGTTCAGGCAGGAAGATCCCAAGTGGGAGGCCAACCTGGGAGATAGCAACTCCCCATTTCATAATAAAAAGGGCTAGGGATGTCACTTAGTTGCAGGGTACCTGCCTAGCATACAAGAAGCAAGGTCCTACATTCAAATCCCAGTATTGCTTGATAAAAAAAGCAGAAAAATTAATGGACAAACTACAAAAAACTCTGAGACCTGGCTGAACTGTATAGTGAGTCCCTGTCTCAAAAAAACAACAAAATAAAGTGGGGGCTGGGAAGATAGTTTAGCAGCATAAGCAAGCACAAGGTCCTGGGTTTGAACCCTGGTACTTAAAAAAAAAAAAAAAAAAAATTCATTGGAGAAAAGCAGTGACACAAAGGACAGAAAGAATGGGAGAAATTGAGGTGTGCTGGTACACACCCATAATCTCAGCACTGAGAAGCTGATTCAAGATGATCACATCATGTTTGAGACCAGCCTGGGATAGTGAGTTCAAGGCCAAGAGGGGGGGAAAAAAAAAGTGTAAGAATTGGGAGAGCTGGGTATGGTGCATACCTATATTCCCAGCATTTAGGAGACTAAGGCAAAGGCTCTTGAGTCCGAGGTCAGCCTGGCCACGCAGTGAGTCTAAGGCTAGCTTGTACCGACACAGCAAGACCCCGTGTCAATAAATAAATGATGACCAAATATTCAAAACATTAGAATTTCCAGTTTTTGTATGGCAAACAAAAAGAACTGATCAAGTGATGAGTAGACTGTTAAGTCCAGATTGAAAATCCAAATTTAAGAATGGAAAGGGATGAAGGTGGTATTTCAAATCAGAAAAAAATGAATTATTCACTTGTATTCTAATCTTAATGAAGTTAGATCCCTCCTCAAACTAAAACTTCAAAGTATTTTAAGTAAGCATTTTTGAGATTTTGGAAAAGGTCTTTCTAAATACAAAACCAAACACAGAGACCATAACAGAAAAAACAAACAAACAAAAAAAAATCTGATTTGGTTGACTATAAGCATTTCTTATGCAAATAAAAATGACCTACCCTATTCTCCCTTGCCACTTTCTGCAACACACAATCTTCAGAAAAGAGGAATAACCAAATTCTAGAATGTTTAAAAGTAGTTTTCCTTCAATTTCATATTCACACTGACCTTTGAAGTAGTAATTGGCGGAAGTTGCCACTCTGTGGACTAATTGTCAGATGATGGGACAGGTAATTACACAGGCGAGCTCCCATGTAAGAGAAATTTGGGATAGATGTGGCCTTTTAAAAAGAAAAGTTTTGTATGATATATATATATATATATATAGTTATTAATGCAAACATTTAGCAGTATGTTTCATATCTTATAGGAAAATGAGTAAGTTTTTTAGGCATAAGGAAATTAAATTCACTCTCCCTCCCAATTTAACACCACCACCACCACCAAGCACACAGAAAAATACTTTAGGCAAGTTCTCCCTTACCCCCACCACCCAACTAACCTGCGGATACCAGAAAACAACTAGGTAATGTCTTGATACTATCCCCTTTCCCCCTTGAAAATATGGACATGTACCCAACTGCATGGCATCAGTAATTATAAACGGAGGAAACAGCTGTGACTAGTGGTACAGGACAAGCCAGATTCACTTACAGGTCTAGCAGTCTAGAACGAGACGCCCAGGAATTCTGCTCTGTAACCTTGGACATCACTAGACCTTCCTGAGCTTCAGTTTGGCCAATATTCTGAGGAAGTCATTAACTCTACCTGGCATAGGGACTAATACTTAAGAACAGGCTAAAAATGCTTGGGGTAAAGAGAAAAATCAAAACAAACAGGCTATTTTAAAAAATTGAGAAAATACTACCTAGCAAAGATTGTGTTGTAGCCAAATCTGCATTCAGAAAGTTTAGTTACAATTTTTAAAGATAAACAGTAGAGAATGTAGCTTTTAAACTAGGTGGCTACGGGCTGGCCAATATCCTACAGGTCATTGACTGTAGATTCTAGGTCTAACAAATGGCCTCTTGCACCACCCTTTGGAGTCTATCCACCAGGTGTGGTAGGTAACCTTAGGTCATTCACTTAACTTCTGCTCAGATATGTATAAAATGGGGTTAAAATGATAGCTTACAACCACTGAGAATTAAATGGGTCAACCTCATGTGACATGCTTAGGAGCACTGTCACATTAAGTGCCTTATAATTATTTTACTTTTTATTTCTAATTATTTCCTTGGCCATGTGACCCTGTACATAACACAAAAAAGGCAAGAGTGTCTCTCCCGATACATCTGCCCTACTCAAGCCACCCCATTCCACTATTTCCCCTGCCCTCCCCCTACCAGTATTATTTTATCATGATTTTAGTTGTTTTCATTGGCACCTGAAACATGTTATAGATCAATTCTTCCCTTTTTAAAGCAATTTAATTTTTCCTTACTGTTGTCTTTTTTGTATTTTTCATTTATCTATCCCTATATTCATTAGCTACATAGTAAAACTTTTATTAGGTCATCTTCAAACATACCTGGTGTGCTCACTTTACCAGGGAACTCTTCATGGAGCCTTCTAACTTGTAACAGGGAAGCCTAGCTACTCTAGACCTGCTGTCCACAGGGGCTCTGCACTGGGATCACCTTTCACCACCATTTAGATAACTGACTTACCCTCTCCTATGGAATTTCCTGTTCCCTTGCTCCCGTCTCTGCATCCTCCTCTTAGAGGAGTACCTCCTTTGTTAACTTGATTACAATGAAGCTTCACACTGGCTACTGGGTGCAAAAAGATTCCCAGGCAATCTCTTTAGCCTTATTTTAACTTTTTCTACAGCCTTTACAGATTCTGCACTATAAGCCAATGTGATAATGCAGCTTTCCTCATAGGTCTGCAGCTCAACTTTCAACCTACCTACTCAGTTACCAAATGTTGATCTACTTTCTAATCCTCAAAACTAGGCCTTTATTTTCTTCTACCTTCTTTGTTCTTACCTTTTACAAATCTCCAAACTGTCATTTTAGTGGTATTTGAGGTAGAATCAAATGTAAATGTGTGTGTCTGGCCTGCTATCTTTTTACAATAGGTCCTCCACTGTTAGTTGGTAAATGAGGTTAATTCTATGGCTAAACCTGTATGTCACATCAATGTACCCAAGACAAAAAGGGGTTAAAGCCTTAAGATGCACTAAGTGAGTATCTGAAGAACTGGCTTTAGGAGACTCGTACAGCTGATCAGGCAACAGATCACCCACCCATCCCATAGGATCTACGATTACGTTCCCACCCAACAGCTGGAGACCAAACAGAGAAATCAGAAAAGCAGGAAATTATTTTCTTATCTCATATTCCTTTGCATCAGCCCACGCAGAAGCAGAAAGAATGAATCAGGACAGAGCTGTCTACTACCTTCTTCAAGCTTCCTGAAGCCCAGTAGTTGTCCAAGTGCCTCTAGGGCCCGGTAACAGTGTGCAACTCGGGCAGGCAGAAGGACGTGCTGGCCCTCATGATCACTCTCTTGTACTCTCAAGCTGCTCTTGGAGCATGACTTACAGAAAACAAAATTTATACTTCTGTTCATCTCCTATTTCTAGCCAGTCTCACAAACACAAAATTTTTTCTTAAAAAGCTGGTGTTATGTCTACTGCATACTTTCACATTAAAATAGCATTAAAGTGTCTGTGCTGTGGGTCGATACATTCAGATGATGACTGAACACTGTATGACAAAAAAAAAAAAAATCAACAGACTTAAGGAGTTTGAGAAATTAAGATACAAAGCCTTAAAGGAAAAGACAAATAAAAACATTAAAACTCAGGACAACCCATTTGTAGTCCTTTTTAAAAATAAACTCATTTATGAGGCAAGAATGTTCTCCTATGATTTCTCTCTCCATTTCTCTAATAATATCACACATAGAAATAACTGTCTCTTCAGTAATTCAACATATAGAAAAAGAGTCTGCATTTTTTTTTTTTTTTTTTTTTGTATTAGTTTCAGATCCTACAAAACAGGGAGAAGAAAAAAAAGATGTTGATATTCACAGAGTCTTCTCCTAAACTTAGCCCAAATCTCCTGCAGCCCCACCACAATTACAGTGTCTTGGCTGGAACGCTAAGTACTTCCTATACAAAGCCACGGCTACACAGGTAAAATGGCAGTTCAGCATGGTTCTGGGATCGGATCCCCAACTACAGAAATTTCACGCAAGAAAGCTTTCAAAGCTCCCGTGAAACACAAAGAATTACCAGGTATAGAAACAGATGGACATGAGTGCGCCCTCCCTAGGAACCCAAGGACACCACCCCACGCATCACCTAACCCACTTGTTGGTAGACGAGTTCCGTAAGTTCTTGCAGATTGTCATCTGTTGTAACCCAGCCATTCAGGGTCTCTGCAAACTGTTCAGTTTTAGTTTCAAAACTGCCAGGTTGCTCTGTAAGATGATTCAAAAACTCCTGAACGTAGTCTGACAGAGTGGGGTAATCCTCACAACCATCTTCATAGGATTCCTACAGACAACAGAAAAAGAAAAGAAAGACAACTTCAATCCATTCAACTGGCTAATACCATTCAGTGGCTTTAAGCTAGACTTAAGTCACACAAGCGGTTGTTTTAAGGATCCTTCAAATGGTAATTTTTAACACACTGTAAGTCTACAGTAATATCTCAGTTGACAAATTGTTCTGTTTGCAAACGAAAGTGCTAGAAAATTTTTGCTTTTGTTCCAACTTCACTGTCAAACATGACCACAGCCACCTTCCTCACACAAACAGAAACACAGCCAGGTGAACAAAAATCATAAAACAAATTAGCTCATGAACTGAGATACTACTGTACTGAGCTATCCTTTCTTGGGTCATAATAGAAGAGTTCTACTTAAGTAGGTAGGTAATTGTCTTCTCAATTCTGACAAATTTAGAAAACAGCTGGTAAGACAGTTTAAGCCAATTTCACTGCAGTAGCAATATAAAAAATGAATCTAATCTCTTCATGGATGAAATAAGAACTACCATTTGCTTCAAAATAGGAGAACAATGATGGACCAGGGATACAGAAGCGAGAAGAGCCACATATAGCTTACTGTTGAGACTAGGGAGATTAATGATGCTACTCCCTACATTCTTGTTGATGTTTGAACATTTCTATACTGCAAAGAAAACCTTAGTAAATTTTGTCATTTATCAGTTAATCCCCAAGGACAGGGAAATGCTGTGGTTGCTCAAGTTTAAATTTCTTTATTGGGTTAATGGCAGGAGACTACTTGGCTGCTGCCACATGTAGGTTTCTAGGATTGGGCAGTTTCCAGCTCATTTTTCCACCCCTGGACATACTTCACTTCAGTAGTTGCCAACTTTATAAATCATGGAGAGGCTGAGCAGGAAAACTTTATCAAAGGTTACCAGGCCAGAACAGCAACCTTCCCATTATCAATGCCTAGAATATATCATCCACAGCATTTTAGCGTTTACCTAACAGTTATGTTTCAATAATAACAATATTCTTTGATGAAACTTAGTCTTCTCCAAATAGACTCATATTGGAAACCAGGTGAAACAAATCATACAGTAAGGCCAGTCATAACCGAGCACTGGGGAGACTGAGGCAGGAGGCTCACTAGGAGCTTAAGGCCAGCCTGGGCAACAAACCGAGTTCAAAGCTAGCCTGAGACTTGTCTCAAAAAAAACAAAACACAAACCAAAAAACATTTAGTCTGAAAGTATTTTTGAAAGGGCTTACCTAAGCAAATGTACTAAAAGAAGAAATACATGGATACACTGTCAAAAAAAAACCCAAACGGTAGAGGGCCACCAAGTAGCTCAGTGGAGTAAGCACCTGCTTGGGCAAGTGTGAAGACCAGGGTTCGATCTCCTGTACCACATGCTGTGCTGGCCGGCCTGTGGGCATACTACTGAGCCAGGAACCAGGACCTGGCCAGTCTGAGCTGCTTAATGAGACCCTGCAACAAACACATTATAAAAATAAAACAAAAACCTTAGTAAAGCTTCATGCTGGAGACATAAAGTCTTAGTAGAAAGACCAGTGATCATTCAATGTTTATTTATTTAGGTCTTTTTATTTATTTTATTTATGTATTTAATACAGGGTCTACAGGGTGCACAGGGTCTCACTACATAGATTGGACTCATAGTGACTGTTTTCAGCCTCCCAAGTGCTGGGATTACAGGTGCACACCACCACACCCAGTCTCAATCACCATCTCAATGTGCCCTGGGGGGCGGGGGGCGCGAGGCCAGCAGGGCACACTGGGGATTGAACCCTGACCTAAACAGGCGTTTTATTTTTATTTATTTATTTTTTTGGGCTGGCTCAGAAAGCCTTCAGGGCAGGTTTAGCTGGCTTGAGTTCTGGGGATTGAACCACAGCAACCTGAGCCTGACTGCTTTGTTGAAGCAGCCATTTAAATAACTGAGCTAAGGGGCAGGCCCCCAACAGGCGCTTTAGTATTTAGGTCTTTTTGAGTCAGGGTCTTACTATGCAGTTCAGGCTGGCCTTGAGCGTACTTTGTAATCCAGGCTGATACTGAACTTGCAATCTGCCTCTTGCACCTCAGTCTTCTGAGTGCTGGGATTACAAACATGTGCCACCAAGCCTTGACTGATTTATTTTTCCGTTTATGTACAGAGTCTCACTACACACCTCGGACCCAGTGATCCCCCTGCTCTCAGCCTCCCCAGCACTGTGATTACAAGCATGTGCCACCACACCCGGATTCAGTGGCTGGCTCAGCACACCCGGGAGCAGGGCCAGCACCAGCGCAGCATGTGGTAATTGAAGCGCTTAGTTCACTATCTTGCCGGCCCTCCTCGCTGATTTTTTAAAAGATTTACATGCATTTTAACTCATTTAACCCTAGAAAAATTCTAAGGTAAGCATTACTCTGCTCAAGCGTGACTATCCCTCCCACAAGAAGAAACATGTACAAAGCAGCTGTCACATTGGTTACTGAGTACTGAGTGTCCCTAAGTGCCAAAAGACTATGAGAGGGGTGAGACTGTCAAGACATGTGGTCTGCCGCAAATAAAGCTACGAAGTCCTCTTCTCATGTCTTCCCTGGGGGAAGACACACTCACTGAAATACACTATAAAAATATAGCCAGACACAGAAAAAAAATCCAGCCTCAGAAACATCAGAGCAAAGACATGCAGTGGGCACAAAATGCACAGTTCTCAGAGGTAGGGACTTGGCTATGTACCTGAGCGAAAGCAGCAGGGAACTAAGACAGACACCGAGGACACAGAGGTGGCTCATGAGGGCAGAGAGGCAGACAAGTTGAGCCATGTCTGGGGGCCACACGAGGCAGACGGGGTCTAAGGCACTGGACACAACGGCAATGGAAGACGGTCTGAACAAAGACCCACACTCCAACCCCATTTCTGTGTCAGCACAGCCAGCTGCAAGAACTGAGCACGGATCAAAGGCTGTACTTTTATTTTCTACGCTTGTGGTAAATCTTTCAGAGCTTTCAATGACACAAACAGCCAACTGTAACACATCACAGGTTTGCCACCACTGGTCTATTTTTCACAGAATAAAATCTGACCCTTTAAATCCAACTTTGGCAGTACATGTACAGGATATTCACTGTCAAGAAACCTACCCAGCAATCCATTACAATAAATTGGTTAAACACTGTGTATCCACACAATGGACAATCTTTCAGCCATTTAAGCAAACTGTATTACTTTTACATATACATTAAGAAACATTTCTAAGCCAGGTACTGTGGCACATGCTTGTAATCTCAACACTCTGGCAGGCTGAGGTGAGAGCATCATTCAAGCCCAGCCTGGGAGACTTAGAAACTAAAGCGAGACACTGTTTCAAAATATAAAAATTTGAAAAGGGTAGGGGACAAGGCCCTGCTGGGTTCAATCCTCAATACAAATGAAAACACAAGAAAAGAAAGAAAAATATCTCCAAGATAGTATGTTAAATGAAAAACATATACAATCATATCTTAGTATAACAATTTTTAAAAGATAATTATTTGTATAGACAAAGATAATTTCTAGAAAAGCAAACACTGGAGAAGAGTACTAACCTCTGGAATAAGGGGCTGGAGAGATGGCTCAGTGGTCTAAAGCACCTACTTGGAACAAGCTTGGCAAAGCTCAGGGACCGCGGTTCAATCCCCCAGCACCACATGCCAGGCAGCCGCGCCCCCTGGTGGGCTGAGCTGGCCACACACACACACACACACACACACACACACAATAAATAAATGTTAAAAAAAAAAAAAAGAAAGTGGAGTAAAAAAATGTTTTTATTAATGTTCAGTAAAGTGGTGAAAACAGCTACACATAAAAATGCACACATAATACAATGTCATTCACCTGTGAGTTTTATAATTAAAAATATTTCAAATTTTTAACATGCAATTATTAGTTTTGCAGACTTAATAGTATCCTATCATTAATGATAAAGAAAAGCAAGAGGCAAGTCTCCAGGTTAAATGTTATTCTTGTGGCAAAAATGCAGTAAGTCAACAACACTCTTTTAAGAAAGGCTGAATTCTGGTAAGTAAAAGAAAAGCAGAGTTGGGCTGGAGAGATGGCTCAGTGGTCTAAAGCACCTGCTTGAAACAAACTTGGCAAAGCACTGGGACCACGGTTCGATCCCCCATGCACCACATGCCAGCCAGCCCCGCCCCCTGGTGGGCTGAGCTGGCCACACACACACACAATAAATAAATGTAATAAATAAAAATAAATAAATAATTAAAAAAAAAAAAGCAGAGCTGCTCTGAATATAGTGACAGAAGTTGAGATCCAGAGCTTTACATATGAAGCAAAAAAGAGGCAGAGCACTTTGAACAGACAGGCATCCCAAAGCTTGCACCAAACCCTGCATCAGCTCTCCAGCGCCAGATTTTTCCAAGACAAATTTTCTCCTGTCTTCAAGTCAAAATAACTTTTAAGCTGAAGCGTAATTTCAAACTTTACTTGTTTTTCTCAGAATTCTATCAAGATGAGGAAGGCCATCAATTGAAGACACAGCTCTCACGGTAGGAATTGCACACACACTTAAGCAGGGAGAACCTAATCCTGTGGTGTGAACCCATGGCACAGGCGCTGCAATGGGCTGCTTGTACATCAAAAGGTTCCCATCACTGACCATCCAAGGCAAGGCAGGGGGATACAGACAAGACACTGAAATCAACCGTCATGCTAAAATTAGCTGAAATGAGCCAGGAGAGGCAGGAGGTGGGGGGAGACGGGGACCAAGTTTAAGACAAATTCTGTTTTGTATTTTTGAGACAGGGTTTCACTATGTATTTCAGGCTGGCCTTGAACCCATGCTGGGATTATAGTTGTGTACCAACAACTCGCCCAGTTTTTCTGTTTTATACTTGAGTTTAACTATGATCCTCATGAAGAAGGCAAACAAATGGCAACATAAGCCTCAGGTTCCAGGGAAGAATTAGATTTATTCCAGGGAAGGTGGCAATCAAATTCTATGGGCAGACAGAATTAGCAAGGAAGACACTAAATTGGAAAATGCCTCAGGGACTAATGTGATGGGAGAATAATGAGTTGCAAACTGGGAAGGACAAACCAAACCAAGTACTGCCACCGAGGTCAAGACAGAAGGTAAATGAAGGCAATGCTCATATTAAATGCTGCCAAATAAATATACAGACTGGAATCTGACTGAAAATGATGATTTCTGAGTGTAGTTAAGATTTTATGCCATAAAAAGAAAAAACCTAGAATAAGATCAGTAACTTAAGTACTTAATTCTCATAAAATTGTAACGGGGCACTTTTAACAGAACAGACAAAAATGGTAACTTTAACCAGGCATGGTGCCTCCCCTACAATCCCAGTATTTTGGGAAGCTGAGGAGGATCACAGGTTACCTGAGCTCAGCCAGGGCACATCAGCAATTTAACAACAATTTTTTTTTTTTTTTTTTTTTTAATTTAAGAAGGGTTGGGGATGTAGCTCAGTGTAATCACCTTGGGTTCAATTGTCAATACCAAAAAGGGTGGTTGTGGGGTGGCATGCATCTGTAATCCCAGCACTTAAGAGACTGAGGCAAGCCTAAACTACACGTCAAGACCTTCTTACAGCTTGTGTCTGAGGCCCCTTACAGCCAGAACTGAGGGCAGCTTTTCAGGGATGGCTGCTAGAGTCTGGGACTGATCCACGGTCTACTGCTGGCATGAAGGGTGTGAGAGCCATGCGCGCCCTGAGGCAGGCAGCCTGCACACACTGTAAGGGATGGAGGACAGGCTCGCTCTCTCCTCCTCTCGTGTGCTGCTTCTGCGATCTCCTGCTGCAATGAACGGTTGCCCCTCTGCCATGTACCAACCAGCCTGCACTAGAGCCAGGCAATTATGGACTGAAACCTCCACACGCTGTGAGCTTTTCCTCCTTTAACTGTGGGTGTTGGGTATTTTGTCTCAGCAATAAGAGAAAGGTAACTAAGATAGACTGTCTTAAAAGGGGGGACAGGGAGATGGCTCAGTAGCATAAGCGCTTTCCCTGGCAAGCGCAAGGGCCTGAGTTCAATCCCCAGTTCTGCCAAAAAAAAAAAAAAAAAAAAAAGGTAAATGCATCTAGCTCTGTTAGCAGCTCCGACATTCAAACTGGACAGACCACACTGTGCTCATAGGTCATGCTGTGTTCGAAGGCTAAAATGGAAGTGGACAATAGATTTAAAAATCAGGAAAGCATTATTAACTTGTAAGAAAAAGCAGCACCACTACATCTAGGGAGATCAGACTGCAAAGGTGTGCAAAAGCATGCATAGTCAGTGGGAGGTAAATCAGTACTAATAAGGAATACAGTTATATCATAGAACATGTTACTACTGAAGACAGAGGAAAAGCCAGGCAGTAGTTTGAAGAGAAATGTCCTTAGGAAAAAAAGCTGATTTGGGTTTGTTTGCAGAAAGATGATTTTCCTGCTTCGTAATAAATGCTTTATGAATATGTATGTAGAACCCTTGGTTTTTGGTACTGGTAAATAAATATGATTAAACATTCAATACATACTGGCTTGCCTGAGAAATAAAGACGAGGAACATATGGATATAGCATTTCATGGCCAAGAGGTTATGAAAAGTAGGAAATTCTAGCAGCAAAATTAAAGAAAGGATTAAAGATAAAAAAAGCTTGGCGTTTTGAAAAGTTAAGAAAGTATATTCAAAGATTATCATAAAAGCTGCTTGAAAAGAATTTCCTGCTTTGTTTTTAAGTACTGATGAATGTATCCAGGAGCAAGCCATCACTGAACTACATTCCAGCTTTATTTTGAGATAGGGTCTCACTAAGTGCCACGCAAGCCAGGAACAAGTACTCCTCCTGCCTCAGCTTCCCAAATACCTAGGATTACAGGTGTGTGCCACTGTGTCTGGCTAAAAGAATGTATTCTTAAGAAAGACCTAGTTCAGGGATACCAGGTAACTGACCTTCATTCATATAAAGAACAAAAAGTACACTCAGAAATTTTCTAGAAACACAACAGGGAGACCACTAGACTACAGGCTGTGAGGAGTCAGAAATTGTCCATTTGTGAGCTGCTATATGCCCAGGCTGACTTGGGATTAAGTAGTCAACTGCTGGGCCAGGGAGATAGCTCAGTAGAATAAGTGCTTGCCTGGCAAGTGCAAGGCCCTGAATTCAATCCCCGGTGGGGGGGGGGGGGAGTAGTCAACTGCTTGTTGAGTGTAACTAGCTCTAGATCAAGGTTAGTGTAAGGAAAAACTTCCCTCACAAGATCCTATCCCAAGAGTTTCTGCTGTTTATGACTAGATGGTGACCATTTTTAGCTTTGACTGAGGCTTAGGAAATGTGAGGGCAAAGAAGAAAGCCCTGAGAATGTGGATATCACTCTAGAAGCTAGAGAACTTATGGAACCCAACAGGGTTACAAGTGAACAAAGCAAGCCAGGAGGCAAATGGTGTGCCTCTCTTCTGCTCCAGGAAATTTGTACCCTATCAAAATACCAATTCACTAGGACTAGACCTTCTGATTTCAACAAACCAGAAAATTCAGATTTGTAGTATCTAACTTGAACAGAAAATAAACAAGCTTTAAATTTTTTTAGAAGCCATACACTGAGCACCAAAGAAGATACACCCGCAAGCCATTCTTCCAGGTTATGATTTGCTCTGCTACACAGTACATAGAAGGAGCTCACCCACTAGCTGATAAATGTCTATAGACAGTAGCTCTGCACAAATGAACTGACATGACTTACTGTCCTGCTCTGTCGCCCATGAGTCACTTAACTTACACAGAGTCCTGTGAAAGAGTCCATCATAAAGCAGAAGTCAGCTGGAAGGAAAACAAGTGGGAACTGTTTGTGGCAGCCAGAAAGGGAACCTCCTCATTAAGTAAACACTTACAGAAGTCTCTACGAGTTCAACCACTCACAGAACGCTCCAATCGTTCTTGTCCTCTCTAAGCTTAGCACTATTTGCTGGCAAGAACTGAATGCATTCTTACCCCAAACAACTGCTTCTCCTGCTATGTCTACCTGGACCATTCCAACCCCATCTCCTACAAGGGCTAATTTCTATGAAGTACAGCTTTTCATATTTTTCCTAACAAATATAAACGGAATCACCCCCAAACTGTGCCATCATTAGTTATAAGAATACAAGCTAAAAAAATCCACAACTAGATAGACATGACACATCTATCAGAACAGCTACACAGAAAATACTGAGGACTGCCCAGCTTCAGTAGAAGTCATATGTTACTCAAAGAGTATTCAGTGAAATGATCTCTGTGGAAAACTATTTGGCAATGCCAACTACAGTTGGCTATTCTATATCCCAGCAGTTCTGCCCCTTGGCATATACGAAAGATAAATAAAGGTGCCCATCCACCTGGCCACGGACAGGGATAGCAATCCTATTCCCAATGGCTTGAAAGGGAAGCTGCTCGTTTTTCTTTACCAAATGGAACTTTGATACGGGCATGCAATAAGATGCTGTAAGAACAAAAGGATTCAAATTGTGTTACAACATGAACTTTTTTTTTTTTTTGGCTGAACCGGGGATTGAACTCAGGCCCTTGTGCTTGCCAGGGAAGCGCTTATTTCACTGAGCCATCTCTCTGGCTCCCACAAATTAACTTTGATGTAGAGTGAATATCAAAATTATATAAACTTTGGAAGCAGGCAAAACTATCTTAAGTCAAAGCAGTAGTTATCCTTGGGCAAATACTCAGAAGAGGATGTACTGAAAGTTACACGAGGGCCGGGGAGATAGCTCAGTAGACTAAGAGCTTGCCTGGCAAGTGCAGGGTCCTGAGTTCAATCTCCCGTACTGCCATTAAAAAAAAAAAAAAAAGACAGAAAGAAAGTTACCTGAGCCCTCACTTCGTGAAACTGAGCTAATCTTATATACATGATGGTATATTTCAATAAAACTAAAATGACAGGAAAGTGGGTTTTATGCTGAAGTACCAATTTTTTCAGTCATGTAACACACTTTCTTTTTCCACTGCTGTAAAATAAATCCTACACAATCATTCAACTAGGTTTACCTCACATAACAAATTCCTTCCTACATATTCTACTTACACTTCGTGCTTTCTGCTACTACAAAAACTAAAGACAATTTTAAGAACCGCGATGTTATGCACAAAAACAAAACAAAGTTTGTAAGTTCTTTATACCTTACCAAAACTTCTTCCACCCTTTCTGCAGTAGGCATCTGGGACCACAACACACACTTCCATTTTAACATAACGAACTATCTTATCACTAGACAGATGCCTAGATGCCTATTTCTTTACAGGACAAAAAACTACATCACATTTACCCTTACAGCCACTAATGCACATTTAGCCGCCTTGCTAAAATAAAATCGGCTTTTCCTGGCCACTCTACGGAAGTCTATAAAATCTAGAAATACACTGTTTAATGAAGCAATAACATTACTGTACCCCGTAGTATTGACCCAGGATTTGAGGGAAAAGTGTACTCACCGCGTAGGCAGCATAACCCGACGGGTAGAATTCGGGGGCGTTGGCGGACAGCCTAGACATCACCACCGGAGCCACGACCACCTGGGGCTTAGCCATTGCTGACTCTGGGCTCTGCGGTGGGATTTCAGCCTGCGAACTAGGCGGAGCTCTCAGGGGCCTCGTTTGCTCTAACAAGAAGAGAGATGTTAAATGAATTCATTCCTTTGTATAACAACTTACTACATACTGAAAAACCACCTGAGAAGCACCAGATTTTAAGAGTTAAGCCCAAAATGTTAGACTGCGGCCAAGATCTGGGCAGAGACCCTGCAAAAAGGAACAAAAGACTCGCTGTGGCGCTTTCCCGGGGCACCAGCCCCAGGGAGGCCAGAGCGTCCGCTCAAGCCCCGCCTCGGGCAGGCGGGGAGGCCGGGCGGCTGCGGGCGCCCCGACTCTGCGGACCCCGGCGGGGAGCACACAGGAGCCGGCCGGCCGGCCGGCCGGGCTCGGCAC